CGGACCTCGTCACAGTGAAGTGGCTATGGATAGGCTTGAAACAGATGCAATTACCAACGAACAGCCGCATCCTCCCCTCAATAACTTATATTTTTGATCCTGCAATAGTGCCGTGTGTTATTGCGTTCCATTGCATGTGTGTTGCGAGCATGCATTGATCATGATAAGTGAAGTGCGAAAGTGGAAACCAGATTTGAGGCTGATCAAGCCTCCCAATCAGAATTGTTGTTAATAATAAGAGTAGCCTGGTGCATCAATCATCACGATATATCTGTCAGCCAATAAAGCAGATATCCGAATTACAGCAGCTTCACTAAAGAAATTTTATGAATTCGTTTAGTTAGTCGATGAGCAACTGATAAAAGGTGGGTATTTGCTTGTTAGTTTTGATATAGCGCCGTTGTATACTATCATTGCTGTAAGTAGAGCTACACAGGCACTAGAATCAATATGGGATCAATGCCCCGATGTTTTGAGAAGTACACATTTGGGCAGAGATGTTAAATTATACGAAAAAACACGGAGCTTACCCATGAGATCGTGTTTATCTCCAATTTATAAATTAATTACAAGGCTCAATTAGAAAACTGCCAAATACAAAAAACACTTTTAGTTCCTAAATCATCTGTTAGGCATATTTGTGATTACTTTACCGTTTGACAGCACACAAATAAAAGCCTGGAAAGCATCTTAACGTTAATGGCAACACCAAGTTCACCATGTAATTAGAAAATGATGATAATCTACCTTTTCTTAATTTCCCAGTTATCAAATAGTGGAATAAACAGAGAAGTAATGTATATAAGAAACCTATATATGCTGGGTTCCTTTCATATTTATTCTCAAACAATACTTATTAGGCTAAAGTAGGGGTGATGAAACCTGGGATTATAAGGAGCCTTCGCCTTGTAGACGCCAATAATCGGGATCAGGAACTAAGAAAGTTCAGACAAATTTTAGTTGAGGAGGATTACTTATTTAGGTTAATTGATAATTAAATTAAAATATTAGCAAATCTGATGGAGATAAGCGTCTATTTGGGGCAAGACAGGCAGCTAAGCTACTCTACTTGGGCCCTGATGTTAGCCTCCTGTAAGCTTTAGGAAAAGAATGGTGAATTACTGAATAAATGGTTGATAAGAAAAATGTACAAGGAAGTATAATACTTTCCTAAATAATGCCATCTTTTCGGGAAGCTTAGGATCCTATCTCCAAATCTGGCAGCAATAAGGTTTTGTGCTAATGTGGTAATGTCTGTGTGGGGAAGACCTGCCGACCTATACATACATACGAGGGTATCCTAACATAAAGCAGCCTACGAAGAGTTGTGAGTCCAATAGTCAGAACTGGCCTAACATAACCCACACCGGACAATAAATAAACCACGCGCGTTTGCACACAGCACACGTGCAAGTTATCTCAATCACATACGTCAACAGTGCATGATCAAAAGCATAAGTAATTTAAGGGAAAATGCAGCTGTTCGATCAAAATCACATCAACATCACGTTTGTGCTCGTCATATGACGGACTAAAGATCAGCAAGGATTCAGTTGAGTCGCAGGGTGGTGCGCCTAGAAATTATTCGCACAGATCTAGTCAAAGCTCCGAGGCAATCCCCCTCCAGCTTCAGATGAGGTAAACTTACCAATCCCTTCCACTCGCCTCTCCAAACTAAATAAAAAGTACTCTAGCCTCAGTCTGTATGCCCTGCTTACTGAACGTGACAAACGAAGTAGCAATTTAGCTACCCTTGGCCGTCCGAAGTAATTTAAGCAATGATAGTTCAGG